GGCCAAATAATGGCGAGAGCACACCTCTGCACTGACTCTAAGGTCCTAGATAAGTAGGATGGTAAATTGGCAAATGCAGAAGAGGCATACTGAAGTATGGAACGTATTAGGCAGCAATAGATGTAGACAATATCTTCCGCTGGGACAGAACTTCTCCTGAGCTGCCTTAAAGCCTTAGGTGAAATAGCAACAGAAGGACTTTATAACATTGTAGAAAAAAGTATTACATCTTGTAAATATCCAACCCAGTGGAAAACTGCACGTGTTTGATGTTCCCAGAAGAAAGGAAGCTTATTTGAATGTGGCAATTATTGCCCTATCTCTTTACTTAGCATACCTAGTAAACTACTAGAGAGTATGGTCTGTAAACAAATTGATAACCATCTAAATGACAACCTGATAAGTAACAGACAGTGGGGCTTTAGAAGAGGAAGATCCACAGAACAGCTAATGCTGAATATAACAGAAAAATGGAAACAAGCCTTGGACAATGGAAAAGTAGCAGGTGTAATTTTTGTTGACTTCCAGAAAGCATTTGACAGTATCTGCCATAAACTTTCAATGAAATATCTCCATGTATGCGGATGATCACCAGATTTTTGTATATTAATACTTAGTTATTTATTATTTTATCTAAATTATCTTGTTTTGTCCTTACTTAGTGGTTTTATTACTGCTATTTTATAATTGACACATGAATAAAAGTTCATCATGAAACTACATAAAAGTGGAATCTTGGGTAACTTACATGAATGGATCATGAATCATTTAGAAGATCTAAAACAGTACACCACAATAAATGGAGAGGCTTCTTGAAAGCAAGCAGATTAAATATGGTGTCCCCCCAGGCTCCCTACTGGGACCAAGAGTTTATGGTGTACATGCCAATGACCTGCCAGACTCATCACTTTATGCAAGTATAGAGATATTTGCAGATGACTCAATAGCTTATTGTGTTGGGAACTCGGTAGATGAAGTCACCCAGGTCCTTCAAGAAATAAAGAATGACATGAACAACTAGTCCAAGAGTAATTCATTAACAATACACCCAGGAAAGACAGAGCTGATGGTGAAAAGATCTGGATTTATTCTAAATCAACCTGCTTAGGAATGGAGGTGGACAATCAACTCAAATGTTCTGCTCATATCAAAACGACTTGCAAGATATTTAACCAAAAGTTGAAACAACTTAAGCAGATGAAGAGTTTGAGCCCACAAGTTTTAGACGCTATTTACTTTAAGCATAGCAGGTCCACATCAGCTTTATGGTGCCTTTTAATCATGACCTGCTTTAACAAATAAACCATGTATGTATGTATGTAGGTATATGTATGTAGATATGTATTTGGATTTTTCTGCACGTAAATATTTGTTATTCTCTTTTTAATATTTATTTACAATTTAATTATGTATTTATTCCCTTACATGTAGTTTTATTTCCATGAAATAATTGTGTCAAGCCTTCCACAACATTTGCTGCCACCTTATATAACAGCTTTACTGAAGAATATACCAGTGTTTGAAACACCAGAGTATGAACCAAAGGGAACATTGCACGGTGAAGTGCAGTGAATACTTTTAAAACAGAACTGAGATCATCACAAAGTAGAGTTAGGAAGTAAGATTTAGTTTCTAAAAATCGACTTTACTAGCGATCGTTCCACCAATAACAACATGTGCTCATCAAAATCAGGCGTATCTCTAACTAAAAGCTATGCAGTATGGTACCTCTAAAAATCCTGGGTCCATCTTGACACAAAGAAACGTCAATTCCACGTCTTCTACAGCCTTAGCAAATAAATTTCGTGCCATATTTACCTCCTGGCTTTCCAATTTCACCATGTTGATTTGTAGAATCGCTAACCTGGCCTTCTTTTTGAACCGCGCGGAAACCAACCTCGTTCCCAGGGTTCTCTCTCTTCCTCCCTGGTCTCCCGTACAAATTGGCTGTTCGAATATGATGCCAAACTGACAAATAGTGAAAGATCATTATTAATAGGCTAGATTGAGACTCCTGGACTGAAACAATAGTTAGAGTGCGTGTAGAAATTTAAAATACATGTAATGTAATGGAAAAAGAGATAAGGCAAACAAATCTGTCAATTTTATTTCCAGCGTTTTGAACATGTTAGAGTGTCCCTTACCGGTTTGGTATTCAATTGTTGCAGAGTACACGACTTTCTGACGACAAAAACGAAAACGTCGTTTTCGTAGGGGGGTATTTGGGCCCATCAAAAACCGAAATACCGTAGAAAAAATCAACCCAAAGCGCAGAACCGAAAAATTCGAAGTGTTTCATCAAGAGGTATTGAACTAGTGACCCTCAGCTTTCGAACCAACTCTGGCATGCGAACTTTGTGGGTGACCAGCACGGTTTGTGAGGTCTTACTTGAATTACATACCCATTGACACAGAACTGTAACGAATGTAAGCCAGTAAGCTTAAAAAGGTTATGCCCGCGCGGCCAAGTTACTGTGTAGTTTTCCAAATGGTGGCGTCCGTTCAAAACGCGGCAAGCCGAGTACACTGTCATAAAGATATTTAAATGGTGGAGTCAAATTGACAAAGATACTGTAACTCTGGGTCCGATACAGCATAGCAAACTCGAATTCATTTAAGTTTGGTCCTAAGCAGACTCAGTAGACTCGTGACGATAGTACGTTTGATTCGGTTAATTTTTTAACAAGATGCAAAATCAGATAGAATGATACCGTTTCAAAAACTAGTGAACGAAAAGAAGGAATAAAGCAAGAAAGATAAAGTATAGTGAATTTCAAAGCCAGAGAGCCATTAAAATGAGAATATACCTACCCATGCTTGTTTCCTTGAGTAAAAAAAATAGAGAATAACCTTGTCCTTGTGTTCTCTTTGACAAACTGATTTGAACTGAACGGCTGCATATGCAGATTAGCATTTTGAAACAGTGGGTTTAACCCCTTGCTATTGACATTTGCACGTGCAATCCGTTCGTGGTATTAACGTTAATTACATGAATAATTCACTGTTGCAGTGGCATGATATTCCCTAAGAGGAGATTACGTTACGTCCTTCAGGTTGAGTACAAAACCCCTTCAAACAAATCAAAATCCTTGATACCAAAAGTTGATTGTCGTCTTTTTAAGTGTCACGCAGGTTTACAATCATATCACACATGCAATCTCTTTCGTGTGTGTGTGTGTGTGTGTGTGTGTGTGTGTGTGTGTGTTTTATGATTAATCCCTTGAACGTAATTTGTACTCTAAAGATTTACTTGTAAAATTCGTATTACGGAGCTTATGAAGTGCCATCAAATTACGCTTTCAATTTCAAATTCCCCCTGAAGTTTTACCCACGTTCTGTCTTTTTCCAACTTTTTGCTTGTGATCTTAATTTAAACCCGACTTTTTCCTAGCTTTTTTCACCACTAATTTTAGTGCTATTGGCAGTGGAAGTGTTGTGATCACCTGTACGTGACTCGATAACAATTTGTCACTCTTCATTGGAGGGCCACTCGAGTCGCCCTTGTGGCTCCTACATGTAACCCTATTATGGAGCTTCCTACGTCGTGCGAATCTTCTCAGCTCTTGCTGAAGAGTTTACAAATATCATAAAGGAAAGCCGGGCGTGGTCATTTGACATACTTCAATAGCGTTTCCCTTATCTTTTTAGAACGGGTTCAATTATCTTTCTGTTTTTCTAAAAAAAAAAAAAAAAGCAACGAGTAGAAAGATATGCTAATAAAACGTTGCATTGTGAGCCACGCGAATGGTTAGTAGAGACTTACTGTGGATAATTCATTGTTTTGATAGAAAGAAATGTCCAAGGAAGAGAACAGTGGAAACTTGTATGTTTTTTGTTACACTGAATTCAAATAAGCTAACGGCAAATGTGATAAATTTCTTGACTGCTACATGTTCATGAATTGTGCACATGGATTGTATGAAATTATTTAACGAAAGAATAAATTGTTCATCTTCATCATGGAAGGCATCGCAAAGTACCCCTGTTAATGAATTCCACCAAAACACACATAATTACACCAAATATCAAGTACACGAAAGTTTCAAGAGTAACCCATGGAATCAGAACAAAATCGAGTCCAAGCTGATCTAATGTGGTACGCACGCCCCAGGTCTCTTAGATTTTGTCTATTTCCTCGAGTAAGTTGACATACAAAGTTGTTACCTCCTCTCTTATTGCACTGACTTGTACTAGGTATCTTATGCTGTAAGCAGTTTTAGTTAAGTAATGTTCGTTTGATGATAAATATAAAACTCTACGATATTGTAAATAGAGTATGGTACTTTACGAAAAAAAAAAAGGAGAAAAATAAGTGTTGTTGCCTATCCAAGTGTGCAAGAAAATTGTAAGCTTTTTCCCTCATTATGATTTTAAAATTTCTGCCAACTGCGTAAATTCATTTGAGCAACCGTTTTGCGGAGGTCGATAGCAGCATCTCTCCTGTGCAAGATCCAAGTCGATATCCAATATATAGCGCACTAGCAGGATAACTTTTTGAGATTTTTTGGTTTTAATGTTTAGCGGAAGTGACGTGAAGGGCCGTTCCACGCACTTGCTTTTATAGAGCAACTGTTTCGAGTTCGTTTTTTTTTTTTTTTTTATCAATTTCGCACCATGTACCACCGGAGTAGACATTTCATGCTCATTAGAACGCGAGGTTTTGGACGTGAAAACCAAAGAGCTTAAGAGCTATTCAACAGTCAGACATAACTTCAACCTTTTTATGACTAAACTTTTCTATGTCTTTCATTCCAAGACCTGCCTTTTCGTGAACATCGACCAGTAACATTCTTTCCGTAGAATGAATCTTACTTTATCAAGAAAGTCTTAAGGCATTTCTCAAAGAAGTATATTTCGGGGTGGGTGAACGACAAAATATTGGCAAGTGGCAAGACCAGATCCTTGAGAATTACAACTTTGCCCATGAGGGCCGACCTTCGCGCTGACTGATTATTTTTTTTTTTTTGGCGAAACAACTCTAACAGTAATGATATGATAAATGAAAGTATAATCACTGATATGCAGCCCTTTAATTCGCGGAAATACCTATATAATGAAGATATAATTACTCAACAAAACATTCTCAACAATCTACAAAAATTGAACTGATTTACAACTAGTTCAGAAATATACGTCTAACGTTCAAATTAAAGAGCATGCAGAAAATTAACTAACTCTTAAATGTTGATTCACAGCAAAAGATCGTCATTTCTTCGGGAAACTTAAATATCGTTTATCAAAATTCTGACAATCACTACTTAGTCACGGCTTTCTATCCGTGCCTACGTCAGTGTTCCTGTTTTTGCTTAGAGTTTTCATTGACTTATGATGATATCACACTCATGTGAAAATTTCAATACAGAATCATCATTTAGTCCAACTACTTTCATGTTGGTAGGTAAATCAATTTCGTCAAAAGCTTATGTGAAATCTTAGCAAATCTATGGCCCCTAAAACTACTTAATCTTAACATTAAAAATTACTAACTTCAGTGTGTATTCTATCAAATTATTTACCAACTAAATCCTGTTTTTCATGAATGCAGTGTATCTAATCTGTAAATTTGAGATGTAGTAGGTGCTTAAACTGACTTGGCGATACTTTCTCTCTGAGATTATAGGTAGACTCTTCTTAAGGGTAGCACCACTGTAACTAAACTATTTTTTAGATAGTTTGCGGTATAATTGATCCGTAAGGGAAAATGTCCTAAACACCTACCGTTTAAGTAATTTGTTTGTCTATACTTTGTAAGTTAAGTGTTACAAAGAAGCGACTCTCACACATCACAATCTACTATACACTTAAATTTACCCCACTAAGTCACGCTAAAAATAACTCTCTTTTAAGCCTTCCCGGCTGCTCCATTTCAACTTTTAAAGTTCTTGTCTCCGAGTTCTATGCTTCATGTCTCCAAAGGTGTTTCTTCAGAATTGTTAACACTCTCGGTGTTTAGCAATGAAATCTTTAATCCGATATTTCCTCATTGCATTCTTTACTTATTCACCGTTTTTTACCAAGGATATAAGCTCCACTTTGTTCAAGTTTAAATTTCTTAGAATATATTTTTTAAAGACACCTCGTAAGGCTCTAAGATGTAATGCATACTTTCTAACTGTGATACCTTGACATCTACGACTACGTTATCAGGTAATTACCCCCGCCTCCTCTTCGCATTGTATAATGAACCCTACAGTATAATGTGCTCCCACACGACTCCAATTTTGGTTACAGTATAGTGAAACTGACAGAAAAAACCTATAGAGTTATGTCATCCAACTCACTCTTTTTAAGAGACTTTGCAACGGTAATGATTACGAGTGGGCCACTGCACCAAAGTACAGTCTACTCTAAACTTAACTTGAACCCCCTCCTGACTTAAACTTCAATCACCACGGGTACAAACTCATAGATAACACTCCCACATTTACTTTTATAAGAAGACATTTTTAAACATCATATTGTCAATCTAAACGTAATTCAGCATATGACTGTGATGCTTTAAGTCATCAAGTATCGAACTAACTGATGTGTCTGTCTGTCTGTCTATCTATCCATCCATCCATTTTTCTATTTGTCATTCCTAAAAAAGTGGATCACTGGATGCTACAATTTCTAAAGGGTTTTCATTGGCTTAGCGATAATGGGGTATGCGCCATTATACCATGCTCTACAAATGTGGTAAGTGTACGCGTCAGCTCCAAATTAAAACGGAGCTTAAAAATTTTAAAGTTAGGAGGCTTAATCTATATTTTGGAGCGTTTTTAATGAAACAATTATTCCACTAGTGCTTGTTGAATATGAGATGGCTGATACAGATAGCCAACGAGATCCGTGGGGATGAGTTAAGTTGGCTATTTATCACCTCATATCCATCATGCGTAAGTGGAATAATTGTAAAATAAGAATTTCTTCTGAAACTCTGAACTTCTGGAAAGCTTCCAGTTTTTTCAGTGGGAGAAAATTTATCTTCCACGAAGGAAACAGTCGGTTTTTGCTATCGAAGAAAAGAAACTGCTTCATGCGGTAGCCGCAACGTGGATCAACCTATGACCTTCTGCACCCGTCGGAATTTTTCTACCGGCTCACGCTTCTCCAATAACGATTCCGAAAATTTCCGTTTGAGTGGAGTCTTAGTTGGAATATTCTTTTTTCACGTCAACTTTGACACCTAAAACAAGAAACAAGAAACAAACTTTTCTAAGTTAATTGTCCAGTTCATGGAGGATTTTGCCTAATTACAGCCCTAGATCATTCAAGTTATTTTGAAAAAGATTTCGTTAAGTTTAAGAATAAAAAAATAAAATATGATACTCACCAGCTCAGGTCGGTCCGTACTGGGAAAAACTATGCCTTCTATCTGGCAGGTTCACCCAATTCGGACCTCTCGGCTGGTGAATAACATAAATATTAGAGTGTTTCGTTTTTGCTTATTTCAACAATTTTTTCCATACATTTTCTCTCATTTTGCGATTCCTTGTGCTTACTTCTATTCTAGATTACCACATGACTTCAGTGCAGGAATATCAGTCTTTCAAAACGAATTTTATTTCATACATACTGAAATTTGCATTGTGAAGTACTACCGTTCGTGTCTCTGACTAAACGAACGATCTATTTTCACAGTCGTTCGCTTCCAATCTTTGAAGGTTTTTTTGGTCAGAAAGAGGAAAATTCAGTAGGTATGATATGAAAACATTAAACCATGGAAAGTGCACACGAACGATTTTATTCCCTCGTCTCGATGCATCAAAAACCTCACACTTTCGCTGTGCTCACTGGTTGGTTTTTTTGATGCATCGCAACTCGTGAATAAGAATCGTTTATGCGCACTTTCCATTGAATAATCTCTGTGTACCTTAAACGCTGCAAAAAAATATAATAATAATAATAATAATAATTTTAAAAAAGCCACAGAAAACTTCTTGTCCACCCACGTCTTTCAGGAGGGTGAAAAACGAAGATAAAGCGAGACCTGCCGTTTAGCCCCGGACGACCAAATGTAGTAACACTCTTTACTCCAAGCGATAAAAATTCTACAGTTTCTAAAGCATACTTCTCCTTTAACTCAATAACTCGGGTAGATTTTACCTTCATGCTTAAAAGGCCGTTGCAATCCTCTCGCGTCTTGGGTGAACTCTTATATTCTTTTTCTGTGTAAATAAAAACAGCACAAGTATCCAGATTTTTCCTCGAAGAAGCATTCATTAACAGTATTATTGCGAACTAAAGATGAATCAACTGGATCAAGTTGCGTCAGCTGTTAGTTTATACAACCTTTCTGGTAGTCTCCCTACAGAATGATGCTGACAAGAATTCCATTCTATGTTTTGTGACAAATTTATTTGCCTCTGCGCATTCAAGTACGGAGGAGGGAACCGGTAAAACATTTCATTGCATTTAAAAAAAAAAAAAAAACTCAATTTCTAAAAGGTTCTTAGCTTACCTTCTAAAGTCATGTTGTAAAACATCCTCAATGAAAATATATCCTCCTCCAGATCTAAAAGAGACACCGACGTTATATCGCAACTAAATGTTAATAAAGACCATAGCCTTCGTAATAATAGAAATACAAAGATTTGTGCCCAGCCATACATAGATATCAAACCCTTCTAACTAAATAACGAACTTTGAAGCGGTCGTTCCTCACTCCAAACCTTACCTCAACTTCATTTCGAAATCTTGTTAGACAAATCAATCATTTGACAAAACTCAAACAAGGACTGTGACGGGCTTATTTTCGGGTGCTTCACGGGATTAGAGATGCACGCCGATGACATTTTTTCCTGATCAGAAACTGAAGGAAGAAACATTTGACTACGTATTTTTTCACCTTGTACGTCTACTCTGCCCTTGCCGCTTACTGCGTACGGTCATATATTACTTTGCAAAACAACATTCATTTTCAGGGCTGGTAATAACCAAAACAGAACCATTGAGTACCAACAATTGGAGTAATTGGAGAATACGTTTAAGCCTTCCTGGTAAATGCCAACTATGAACGTGAATCACCAAAGCATTTGCTTTACACGCGATCTACGTATCCTCCACTTTGCGTGGTGAACGATTGAAAAATTACCCCAATACATAAGACTGCACTTGTCCAGTATAAATTTACCTGAAATTCGTTCTTCAATTGAGGTGTCTTTGGAATCGTCTCTATCATCATCCTGCATTTTGTGCGCGTCTGTTTCTCCGCTCTCAATTTCACTCAATTCTTTATTCCATCTTCTCAAAGCAAATGCAGCAGCCTTCTTGACTTGTACATCATCAAAATGGCCTGATACAAACTTAATCTGGTCGTTCTCACTTAAAAATCGCCAGTGACTGGCAGCTTTCAGCTCAGCCTGGAAATTATATTCTTCTGGAGTAACGGGGGAGTTGTCGTTTAAGTACATTGAGACAGCGCGAGCAAGGAAATTGACGCTCATAACGGGTATTCCTCTCTTGCAAATTGGCATTTTGGATGGCTTCCATGGCAATGACGTCAATAACGTCTCATTCAACGTGCTTGAAATGTTGTTTATACTTAGAGTCTCCTACATGAGGAAAGAAAACCAGCAAATCTTGGTGAACCAATTTCGAACGGTAACAATATCAAATTATTGTAATCTTCATGCGCCAAATAGAATACGCTATGATGTGCCTTGTTCGTGGCATACAAATGTAACTGCTTGTTTAAATTTATCGAAGGTCTCTCTAATGAGTTATCGCGTGACAAAAATTCTGATCAATTTAATCAAATTTCGTTTGATCTAATTTGATACAAATTGGCATGATTAAGGAGAAACAACGCAAAAATTTATTCTGGATCTTATCCTCTAAAAATTTTCACAGCTTTGACGCCAAGTAGAGTTTTCGTCGACGTGGTCAAACAGCTCTCCAATAGAGGACAATAGAGGAGCCCCTAGCGAAGACTTATAAAAATAATAAATACTCGCGCTTAAGTTGACTCCAAGAGCAGGGCCAGGCGATAACCTGATAAAGCATCCGCTTGAAAACTGAATTGACCAATCAGACGATGTGTTAAAATTAATGAAACAGTGTAACTAAAAAAACATATTACTTTCAGTTTGACAACAACAACGTCCTCTAAGCTTGGATGTGGTTCTGCTATTAGGGTATCTGGAAAAAGAGCGACGAATGTTTTCCAAAGGCGAACTTCGACGACTGGATTAGCTCTGGTACTAGGTCTAGGCTGTTCTTGATCAAGTGGATAATACAATGCAGGATTCCGTAACAGCCAAACTGCAAGTTGAGTGAAAGATTCAACCGAAACAACATGAACTTCCTCGTATAAACTACTTGGAGAAACACCATATTCGCAGCTTTTTACTTTACATCTAAGATATAAAAGACATACCACTACACAAAGCGAGTAATGCGTACATGGAAATCACTAGATAACTTTCAATTTGTATTTTAGCTTACCTTCATTATCATTTATCACCTCAAATGACGGGCTTCTGTCCGTCCCAGCCCTGTACAAAGCTTGTGTCCAAGGAAGTTTAGTGCCTTTCCAAAGATGAAAATAACACATTCTTAGCCTTTTAAACGAGTAACAAGTGAAAAGTGCTTTTTAAGCAAGCAGATTGGCTGGTTTGAAAGTGAAGAGCGAGCATTATTCACCTTCAAGCAGCCGATGAGACAAAGTCGCGCATCAAGAAGTTAATTTCCGACAATTTTTCACTTTATTAAGACAAACAATCTTTTGGTTTGTGAGTGGTACATGCTAAAACAAGTATTCACCTCAGTGTTGGTGAAAGTGGTACATATTTACTCCGCCGCTTCGCAGCTCGGCAAATATCTACCACTATTTGCCTCCACTGTAGTAAATAGTTGTTCGGGTTATATTTAATACTAAGAAAAAACGGTAAAGATAAAGGCAAGCACTATCCACATAGACATTACGTTACTTGCTGCAAATTATTTTTCGAGCCAGTTCTTTGGACAGAAATATAGACTACATTTAGTCACATTTAATCATACAATACAACTGCCCTGGAAACTTAGTAACCTGTAACAGGGCGCGACGAAAGTGCTGTCCGATAGCCCGGGGCTAGTGAAATGACTTGTCGGGCTAGCGTTTTCTTATCGCAGCCTGCCCGACGGGCAACCACCACCATTGGTTCCTCTGTTCTGATGATGATAAATTGAGCTTTTATACCAAAAATTGTATAGCAGAGAGCTCCTGAGGGAAAAGGACAACGTTATGACGCCAAATTATCGTAGCATGACAACGTCTTGCGCCGCATTTTAGTTGCGTCCGTAAATAATGTCGTGACTTTTTCTGTTTACATAAGCGGCCGAAATATATTTTTTGAAATGACAATATTTGCCGCCTGACAGCATGCAGTACGAGACAATCAGTCTAATTAAATTCCAGCCAAGTCACGGTTCAGTGGATTTTCTCGGAATTTTAGGCCCTGTTTACAAGCAGGTAGGGTAACCCTAGTGCTAGGGTTACCCTGGCAGGAGGGTTACCTTAACGCTCCCACATTTCTTCCTTTTTTCATCGACGTGTTTACAAGGCAGCTAGGGTTACCCTAGCTGCCTTGTAAACGCTCTGCTGGGGATAACTCGCCTACCCGGGACAACTTTTTACTTGTTTCCAGACCCTTTGAACATTGATAACAATGCGTGCGGTTACCAAGCATAGGTAAGTTGTCCCGGGTGGTAGGGTAACCCTACCTGTGAAATTTTGCTTGTAAACCCGGGCTATCTTTGACCCGCCTGCTAGGGTAACCCTAGCACAAGGGTGACCCTCCTTGCTTGTAAACAGGGCCTTAGATGCGTTTCGTTGGGAAAATCCAAATCCGGATTCTTATATCTGTTTTAAGGCTGCCAATTCATTATTAAAACAAAAAAGGCCCACTTCGTGTAAATTTAAAATCAAGGAAAAACTCGCTTGGAGAAAAGCTAGCAGACCTGGCGCCGTTATCGAGTTGCGTGTTTGTTTTTATTTTTTATCGGATGCTCACGGCGCCAGGTCTGGAAGAGTTTGTCAGCTTGACGAGCTTTGAAGAGAATTTACTCCATCGAATGTCGACATAAGCGGCCGAAATAAATTTTTTTTAGATGACAATATTTGCCGACTGACAGCGTGCAGTGCGAGACAATCAGTCTAATTAAATTCCAGGCAAGTCACGGTTTAATGGCTGTTCATGGAATTTTATTTTGCGTTTCGTTGGGAAAATCCAAATCCGGATTCTTGTTCCCATTTAAAGGCTGCTAATTCTTTATTAAAACAAAAAAGGCCCACTTCGTGTAAATTTAAAAACAAGAAAAAACTCGCTTGGAGAAAAGCTAGCAGACGTGGCGCCGTTATCGAGTTGCGTGTTTGTTTTTGTTTTTTATCGGATGCTCACGGAGCCAGGTCTGGAAGAGTTTGTCAGCTTGACGAGCTCTGAAGAGAATTTACTCCATCGAATGTCGACAGACTTCAGATTACAGTGGTAGTTTAATTGACCGATCGCAACGTTCATGACATTCACAAAAATAACTGTGTTGTGATTTCCATAAATTTATAGTATTTTTCACCGTCGACGGGGTAAAATGTAAACATCGAAGGAACGAACCCATTCGAGTGCAGAGATTATTTTTCCTTTAAGGTCGGCACACACGAAGGGACTAGTCCCTGCGACTACTCCCAGCGACCAGTTTCATGCGACTAGTCCCTGTGAACTACACATTACTGTGGTCGCAGAGACCACAATTTGGTCCCTGCGACTGGTCACATGAAACGAAATGTTTGTCTCTTCGTGTGAACTGTTTGTGCGACCAGTCCATGCGACTACACGGTAAATAAGCCAATCACGGCTTGTTTCCCGCTTTCCCGCCGAAATAAATACCGTGAAGAAGGGATTGCGTGACTTGCGGTATTTGTAAACATTGCAGTTTCTGTGAATTTTCCCTGAATTCTAGATTTCTACAACTATTACTAGTTTTGTAATCATATACAGATGTCTTGGAGCCGTTTTGATGGAATTTTTCCCCTATTTGACTCTGTGTCTGTTAAAAATAATAATAATAAAAAAAAACCGAACACGTAAAAGCATGTATAATCCGATTTAATGAGTGTAGTTCATTTGCGTTGTTTAATAGTACTACAATGAAAAGTTACCAAATTTTCATTGTTTTCCTGTAACCCCCCAGACTAAGAAACATCTTTTGCCTCTTAATTTTCCTATGTTCTAGTGGAATTGAGTGCCCTCGTGTGAACGCCTTGAGGGACTAGTCCCTGCTGCCGGTCCCCTAGTCGCACGGACTAGTCCCCTCGTGTGTGCCGACCTTGATTATTTCGCCCATGTTTGAATGAAATTTTACTCTGAAGCAGTCATTCGCAATCACAAGATTGGATCACATGACTGTATTTGGAATTCACGTCCACAAAATTTTTATGTAAGTTGTAACCGCAAACTTCTAGTGGTCAGGTGCAAAAACTGGTCGTTTCGGTTACATTGTTTAATTTGAGGTTAAAGTTAAAACGAAAATCACATTCAAGAATCAAAATATACGCAGAATTAGTTCATATCTATGCTTGGCATCATTACTTGTATTTTGCATAATTAAATAAATCTGATTATTCTTTATAAACAATTTAATTTCGGGCTAGCTCCTCAGACCTTCGGGCTAGTAATCTCAAGTAACAGCTTGCCTGAAGGGCAACCTTATCTTTTCAGTTTCGTCTCACCCTGCTGTAAGATACTAAAATAAAAAACTTATTTACTGACACATGCTCAGAAGTTGCTTTGATTTTGAAAATTCTCAAATTTTGTCGGCAGTGTCGCCTCTTAGCTTATTGTGATAACCGCACTGTTTTACCGAATATCACTCAAAAAGGGCTCATTGGGAAAGGACATTCTTGCCGTCTTTTTTACCTGTCATCAGTCAGCCTTTAAGCCTACCACAGCTCAGCCAGTGGGCTGGAGCCTAACGGCTGGAAAAGTAATTAGCCTCACACTGGTGTTCCTACTAGTGAGGTGTAAGGATGGACACGTCACCTCACCCAGTCGGGTGGTGGTTTAATTCAAGTTCAAAAGAAATGGAACGTTGCTTAGCTGTGAAATGTGCTATGCACAAACCTCCAAAATCAAAAATAACTATCAAATGACATGGTTTTAGCTCAAAGGGAAAGTCTGAGCAAGTCTTCAAAATTCTTAGCCTTGAATCAGTTGACTCAAAGCCACACAACTAAAGCTGAAGATACTTTAAGATTCACTTGTGTGTTTTTCTTTTTTCTGCTTTTCTCTTTTTTTAAGATTAAGATAGGTTATTCTGTCTTCATGGAACTGGGCTATTGTATTGGGCTGGCAAGTGAAGTCTTGCGCTACCAAACATGATTAGTTGACCAGCAGATTTTTCCAAAACTCCTTTAACCCTAGGTTTGTAATTGGGCAGAGCACAAATAATCATCCAAGTATAGGCAGACCAAGTGTAACTGTATAGAAACATTTACCTCTTTTTTCCTTTGAGCTTGGAGAGGATTTCAGCTTAGGTTCTTTTGGGTGTCCACTTTTATGAGGAACACCAGCATCTTTCTCAATATCCCCACCTGAATAATGGCAAATACATGTAAGGTGCACTTCAACCATAGGAGTTGAACTTTTTAAATAGTAGTTATAAAATGCCTTCTACAAGAATATTCACGAAAGGAACTAGGAATGAAGAAAGGTAATCACGAGTCTGTCTTTTTTTTTTTTTTAAGTAACTTTCCTTCTTGCCTAGTTACATCAAGATTGTACTTTAAAACCATAGCCTTCTAAGGTTACTTGTCATTGAAAATTGGTTTCAGACTAACCATCTTTCAGAAAGTGAGAAAATTAATTGGAAAAGTGAAGCACCTTCCTACTCACTTGGTGAAAAAGAGTAACAAATATTTGCAAAGGCTATCAGTTTGAAGACTTCCACAACCAACATATACACAATTCAAATTACCTGTGGTGACATGCATTTATTGTAGTTCAAATATAGCAGCTAGTAATTAAATTCTGAAAGGTGGTTTATGAACTTGCATTTACCACTTCAATTGAAATTAAGACTAGTCAATTCTTAATTCTCCCCTCCAGCTGCTACACATTTCCCTGTAAACTAGTTACAAGAATTTGGTCTTGGATCAAGGTTACTTCTTCCTAAGAAGTCTGAGTATTCTCATTACCTGTTTACTGAATTATGAATAAATATTATAAGGAGAAGCTATGTAGTCATGTTAATTAATCACTTCTGGGGGTTGAAGTGCAAAGGGTTAAAGTAAGAGGAGCTTTTAATAATTCATAGACTTTTAATAAAAGGCTAAATTCAGAATTGCTCAATTTGCTTGACTGGATGCTCTGGTAGGTTTCCAATGTAGACATTTTTCAAGAGCGTAATTTTTTTTCAAAGACAGTTAAATTCAAAGTTATATTTCTTGACACACTGATAATGATAACTAAATTTTGTATTTTTACTTATTGTGTAGTTGAAGAAAAGGGTTTAATTTCCTTTCTTCTTTTTCAGATGTGTTGATTAACATTTGAACTGGTCTTGTTATCTCTTAGTTCCAAAAATCCCTCAAATGCTGCATCAGTTGAGGGATTTTATCTGCAGGGTCTTAACTGATTGTTTTGCCACCAGCTACCACATTTCATTAAGGCCAGCATTTACTTAGGTATATATTAAGCAGTAGTAAAAAGCATCTGAGTCCTTTGTTGAAAAAATCCCACCTACCTTCAAGAGAAGAAAGTTCCTGAATGATGTGCCTTTTCATGCCATTGGGGAGGCTTAATTTTTCTACCAAAGTTTTCATTATTGAGAAACAGTCTGTGAACATCTCATGAGTCCAGTCATTCAGATTGAAATGTGCCCACTTGTTCCAGACAATTTTCCTGACATCTTCTGCTGAAGACTGCACTGAAACAGACTTCTTTGAGTGCAATTCTACTAAAAGCTTGGAGCGTGACAACAGCAGAAGAGGGGCACCTACCCCAAATGACTCATCAAAAGCTGAAAGGCATGCATGGTCTTCTGGTAGGTACAGCTTGGCTAAGTCTACAGGATGGTTGACACTATAATCATAAGCTGCTTTATTTGCTCCATGTTTTGACTTGTTCTGGTTGATGTTCTCAAATTTCAGTTGATGAAAGGTTGCATCATTCTTCACAGAATCATAAGTTAGGGTCTTGAGAGTGAAGCTTGCGGCATGAATATTCAAGTTCTTTTCCAAGCCTGTATAATGTTTTGCCATTGTTTGCTTGACGTTTTCTCGTAAAACTGGTGCCAACACTTTGTACAATGCTACTCCACACCTCAGCCATCTCTCTTCCAAGACCATGATAAATTACCAAGTATGTCCTACAATGTTGTTGAATAGGGATTGTCATAAAGAAATTTAAGCTACTACTGAATGTGACAGAAATCCTACTGATTCACATTCAAAATTTCAGAATTTTCTAAAGAAGGAAATAGAAAAATTTCTGCCTTCATTCAAGACATCTCACATAAAACCAAAATACATCTAACAACAACACCAAGCTGAGGATGGCAAGAAACCTTGTGAATATATCATGAAAGAAAGTTATGTATAAAATCTGACAAAATTTTTACATATAACACATGTCCAAAACATTGTGCCCTTATTAGAAACAATATGCACTAAAAACATTTACCAGATGAGGGTAACTTTTACCCGAATTGACCAATCAGAGTGCTTTGTTTGTTTCAGTTTACCGCCGGGTAAAGTTTACCCTAGTGGGGTAGACTTACCATTAGCAATTCGCTCGTTAGAGCCCTTCTATGGGCTGTATCGACGCAAAATAATTACATTCTTTCGATTGTGCCTTCTTAGAATCGAATTTCGCGATTTGGAGTTGAAAAAGGTGCAAAACCGATCAGCTTATATCTAGGATGGCGCGCTTTTGGATTTGTCGGGATTCGAAAATTGACACTCCTTTGTTTGCAAAGTCATGTTTGTTTTACCTTTATGATAAAATATTGTTGACATGAAGGTGTTTTATTGACAGGTTTTAGGTGACAAGCCAG